CCTAAGGTACCTTCTGACTGGTTTAATGAAGGACTGAATGTCCAATAGCTAGGCAGCAGAGGGTAGGCCAGACTTCTGGGGAGAGAGAAGAACTTGGGTGAAGAATCTGAGACAGGTGTGAGGAATTCACCAGTTATATGGAGAGGAAGTTGAACTTACTGTACTGGAGAGAGGTAAGGAGCCACATGGCAGAGCTTAGATTAATATAAACAGGTTAATATAAGTTTCAAGAGCTAGCTTGAACAAGCTTAAGATATGGTCAAGCTTTCATAACTTATGAAGTATCCATGTCATTATTTGGAGCTGGAGGTCCAAAGAAAGCCCTGCAACAGAGTGTTGCTGATGCCCTGGATGCAGTGAAATGTAGTTTGTTTACATCTTCACCAGAGAAACACAATAACATGTAAGAAATGAAAAACTATTTGCCTAACAGCTTAAGAAACATAGTTAAACTATTCAGTTCGATGATATTCTAGTCCTTCCAGAAACATACAAAAAATGTCATAGTGAGTTAAAAAATATTTATCATTTTTTTTTCCTTTTCATTTCCAGCTCTTACCTTGAATACCAAGTAAGAAGTAGAGCAAATTACAATATATACAGCATCATAATAATTTGGGGCCATTGTAATTAAAGTTACTGGGACAAAGAGGAAAAGTATATGCCATAATTGGAAAAGTGTCAAGTGAAAAATTTGTTTATTTTAACTTTGATCCAATTTTCTCTTAACAAAATGCCTAGAGACCTTCATTTCCAAGCAGTTCCCTTGGCTCAGCCAGTTGTTGAACAAAGAGACCACCGATTTCATTTACATCCATCTCAAGGGGACACCATTGGATTGTTTTGTTGAAAAGCTTTCTGCCATGGAGTGCTCATTAACACACGCAGACATTTCAGCCTAGTTCATGCTGAAATGCATGCTAACAGCGATATTAAATGATTATTTCACTTTTACTCCTAAACATCATTAGATCCAAAGTTGTGTTACAAGTAATCCAATTACAAGGACAGTCATATTGATCCAGTTTCCAAGATATTTCTGAGGAAAATTTTAGAAAAAAATTAGCTATAGAATAAATAAATCTTAAAAATAAGATGACTGAATTTATCAGTGTTGCCATAAAAGATTAAATTAGGATATTTGTAGAAATGGGGTATCTATAAGCAACAATACAAATGAATGATAGCAATTGTAACATATCTTTAGAGCACTCATAATCACTCTTCCAAATTAAAAAGTAGAACTAAAAATTCAACAAGTATATTTGATTTTCATTTCCTGCTTTCTGTTTTACACTTCTTCAGACAAAGGATAGACTTGTTTAGTACACAAAGGGTGACTGACTTCAGAAACAACTGAATTTGCCTCCTCTCATCTCCTGACAGCCCAAATGGCTTCATAAAGGACACATCCACACCACCTGGAAGCTTATTAGAGAAGAATCCCAGCTCAGTCTACTCAATAAAATCAGCATTTTAACCAGAACCACACTGGATGTGTGCACACTAAAGTCTGGAAGCACTGAATACATTACTTATTAGATACATTTCCTTGGGCAAGAGCCCTGAAAGACCCAATTTCTACACTGAAAAGTGACTCTAATAATAAATAGTATCTCCCACCATGGTGTTACTTCGAGGAATCATTAGCTCATTTTATTTAGTAATCAGCCATCAAGAAAGTCTACCTGATATGAAGTTCTATCATCTACATCTTTATTTGCATGTTCATGATTTTTCAACTAGATTTTGTATAAAAGAAAGTAAGTACAACACTTGGTCAATTAAAGCTGCTTTAATCTAGATGCCTCCCTTCCCATAGCCTACAACAAAATCGGAAGTGAATTAAAAATGCCACCTTCCATTCATTCACAGCCTACTAGAGCTCCTGTGTTTCAATTAACTTAGAAATATTTCCCTGTGAAATCAACTTTTCTATTATTATGGAATCAAATAAGTTAAATAAAGAACAGTATGAAAACAAACATGAACCTGTCTCCTAGACCTAAGGAATTCTATGTTAATTATCCATCACGACTCCTGTACTCTGCTATCATGCAAGTAATATCATCACTGATCCCCCACAGAACTCAAATAATACATCAGCTGTCTTTAACTTCAACCAAACATGAGAAATCAGAGAAAGTCTCAAAAGCCCCATGGCAATGTGATAAAGACAAGATGGACAGACTTCATTCAACAGTATCTTACAGATGTTACCAGGATCTTAAGCACTTAAGTAGAAATGCCTTAATGCTATTAAAGATTAGGTTGCAAACATTTATATCTCTGTTTTAAAGTGATATTAATCTCAAGAAAATTGGAGATAATAATACATTTAATAAGTTCACCTTTACCCTGGGTAAAGTTGCTAAATATTTTAAATTATAATAAATATTGAACTAGAAATTTGATAAACCATATATAACAATAGATATTTCTACTACCTTACAACAAGATCAGACTGTAGATGCCTTAAGAGCCATGACCAAAAGATTTATCAGTGTCTAAGAATGCACACAGAAATTTGAAGACCAAGATAACTGTTTGGAGATATAAAGTATTTCCCAAAGTTTTCTGAATAAATAATAATATCAAAAACAAAATTCCAGCTTAGATTTCTCAGATTAATTACACACTGAAGCTATATTATTTGGATAAAAATAAGCTCTAGTAGCATGAAGGAACGTCTTTAAAAATACATTTGCACTGGCCAGTGGTGGAGTACACCTTTAATCACCGCACTCGGGAGGTAGAGGCAGGAGGATCTCAGTGAGTTGGAGACAACTAGCCTGGTCTACAAGAGCTAGTTCCAGGACAGCCTCCAAAGCCTGTCTCAACCCCGCCCCCCCCAAAAAGCTGATTAGCACAGGAACCAGGGGTTAATAGAGGAAGGGAGACTGCACAATATATGGGCATGGGAAAGTCATCTGCAAAAAAGGTTAAACTGAAACCTGCAATTATATCCCAGTTCTGCTGCAAATGTATTGAATACTCAGATGTGGAAAACAAAACTTAGGAACCTTTAAAACTAATCATATTGTGAAATTTTGTATATGATTTAATAGTAATGGAGGAATTATTAGAACACTCTGGAATAGTTTGACTACATTAAAATGAAGAATTTAGCAAAATACACAATGAAGACAACAAAATCCACAAACAAAAATTAGCTAGCTTACATAACACCAAGAACTAACCATCTATAAATAAACTAAAAGAATACAAATGTGAAAATGATATAAACAGATATTTCACTGGAGACTAAAGGGTAGTGATTGAATGCATATACATCTCAGACTGAAAGTTCTTCCTCTTCAGATCTGAAGAACTGTTGTAAATTCACCTTTGTCTGTCAAGCCTACTCTCCTGAGCTGAATCTGTAACACTCCTCAATTAGCATCTGACTGAATATAACCATCCTTTATCATGTGTGGTTTTATTTTCCATTGTTTCCATAACCTATGTTCATACATAGCCTGAAAATGTTAACAGTAAAATTCTGGAAATGATTATTACATACATTTTAAATTTCATGCCATCCTGAATACTATCATAAAACCTCATTCCATACTTTTATGCAGTCATTTAGTATAATGGCCACCCCAGTTTTCACAGGCCTGTGACAGTCTCACTCTTCTTCTTCTTCTTCTTCTTCTTCTTCTTCTTCTTCTTCTTCTTCTTCTTCTTCTTCTTCTTCTTCTTTGATTTTATTTATTATGTATACAGTCTTCTGACTGCATGCCAGCAGAGTGCACCAGATCTCATTCAAGGTGGGTGTGAGCCACCATGTGTTTGCCAGGAATTGAACTCATGACCTCTGGAAGAACAGTCAGTGCTCTTAACTGCTGAACCATCTCTCCAGTTCCAGTCTCACTGTTCTTACAGTCTTTGTGATAGCACACTGCCTAGTGCTTCCACCTCATGTCACCACTTAGGCCTGAGTCTTCTTAAATCATCACAAGATGGGTGAGCACAGTTGAGCAAGATATTTGGAGGCCACTTTGATTACTTAACTATAGTTTTATTAGTGATAGTTGTATTAATCTCACATGTCAGTTTATGACTAAACCTTGATCATAGAAAAAATTCAGTATAATTAGATCAATGGACTCATCAGCCAATTCAATCTATCATCGATAGAAAGCAACTTTTAAAATTGGATTAGTATAGAACATGTACAGAATATTTCCTGTCATTGTTTCTTAAACAACAGAGTATGCAGAACACTCATGCATCATTTGCATTGCTTAGGGACTATCATTAATTTAGAGATGATTTAGAGAATTCAGAAAGATTTATGTAGGCTATATGGAAATATTCTATAACTTTACACAAAGGATTATGAATCTCTGTCTGATGGGGTGTCTTCCATGGACACTCTATATGCGGGATTAGGATTTGATACAATCCACAGCCTTAGTCCTCCCCTAAGTTCTATCAGAATAATGCAGAACTGCAATTATATATAAAATAAAGCTAAATAAAAGTCAGTGGACCATACAAACACAGTGTGGGTGAAGACAAGCAAGACTCTGAAGGTGACATAAAGAATGATATATTACTAAAACATGAGCAAAATTTTAAAAATTGTATAGCAAAGCAGGTATAAGAGGGAAAACTTCTTTTAAAGGTCAGAAGTGGCACCCTGGACACTTTGGTAGGAATGTGGAATTATGAAATAGGAGAGCACAACAGTTTATGTACTAGTAATAATAATGAGATTATGTCTTAGTATACATTAAAATGTGTTCAACAGATTATAATGTATAATGACACATGTATAAATTTGCATGTATCGGTTAAATATACATCACTTATGAAAGAAAAGGATAATATAATACAAATAAAGCAACAGGTAGAAGAAAAGTATCTGTTTATTTGGGATTCACATTAATATCATGAATTTATCAGTTGAACACAGTAAGAGAAAAAAGTACACTAAGTAAAAAGCTCAAACACAGCAAGAAACATAAAGAGAAAACACAAGCTAAACTCACCACCAGAGCCTTAGATCGGTTGCTCAGGAGTTTCTCAATGTCTCTTGCTGCAATTTCCACTAGCTGGCGTGCATTATTTGGCTCCACAGTATACAACTCTTGATATTTTTCATAAATCTGTGTCAAATGAAAAAAAAAATAAGAGCAATGGCTATTTATTTGGCTTGTAGATTTCCAAAAACAGGCAAACAAAAAACTGTTTCTTCATCATGACTCTTTTAAAGAGTTCATATATACACCAGAAAAGCATACAGAAATAAACGTAAATTTACTGTAAGACTACTAGTTTGCAGAAATAATAGGTTAGGTCACTAATTATAAGATATGGGTCACAACAGTTCACATGTACATTGTGTGGTTCTGAAGCTTTTCTGTCAGCCCAGCTTCAGAACTTGGTATTAACTGTCACCCTCATTTTCAGGTAGGCACCCTGGAAAATAAAGAGAAACCCATACACCAGATGTTATACAAGGCAAACATCTCTGAACAAGGTCAAAGCCTGAGTTAGGTCAGACCAGATGAACTACAGGAGTCTTCATGCCATTCTCCCCTACAATGGGCATAAAGGGTAAGTTTGCTTCTTCAGTTTATGGAGAGAGGAGAGAAGAAATGAGAGAAGGAGCATGAATCCCCTACTGTGGTTCACAGAAGTGAATGGAGACCGTCCAAGAGAGTTCACATCTACAGAAGTTGAAAAGTTGAAAGCACTGGAGTCAATGTTAAGGCTGTGGATAACTTCGTAATGGTGGTTTTCTTTTTATCATGTTAAATGCGGGCATTTTCTGTTTGAGTATTTTTCATTTATATCACTGAATAAACTAAGGCAAAGTTAAGGTAGTCCATTAAAATTAAGACCCAACCTCATTTCTGGCTCATCCTAGTGTCTGCAGAAGGATTTTGCTCTAGTGGCATAGGCAGCACCTGGTTCACAAAAACCTGTGCACTCACAGCAGGGGAGGAGAAACTGGGGGCAGGGGGGGGGCAGTGACTGTGTTTGCCTAGAGGGCTGACCTGAGAAGGAAATCCCCATGCACTGAGCAGATGGGGCTCACATGCATGACTAAACCCTCTTTAAAGCCAGGGCCTGGCAGCTTTTTATTGCCTTGTGAAAGTGAATCCAGGCATGTACCAGAACCAGTGCCACTTGCTTTTGTTCTGGCATCAATTAGGCTTTACAGGTTCTAAAGGCTGGCCCCAGCTGAGCACAGATGACGAATGCTCGCTTCAACTGCATATACCCTCTGACATTTATCTATCAAAGAGAATGTTAGTTTTCAATGAGGACACACACACACACACACACACACACACACACACACACACACACACACACACACACTTATTTATGTATACACTCTGGGGCATGGAAAATGCTAAAGAGTGATCTCAGGGGGATACCAGTGGTAGGAAAGCACTTGGCCATTGAAACATATTCCTATGTCCCTATAACTATAAATATTAACACATTGCTAGCTAAATAGTATTTTTAAAGGTTTAAGTCACCATGTGCTCTTAAAATAATCAGTTTATGTGAACTTTGAAGTCCTTTGAACACTGAACTTGAAGATTTTCATTAAAAATATTCCAGGAACAAGACACATGGGGGAGAGCCTAGGCCTGGCCCAGGATGATGTGGTGGACTTTGGGGAGCCCACATGGAGGGCTATACCCTCCCTGGGAAGCGGAGGGGGGATGGAATGGAGGACTGGTGGGGGCTGGAGGAGGAAGTGAGAGGGAAAAGGGATTGACATGTGAAGCAAGCTTGTTCCTAGTGAACTAAAAAAAAAAAAAATCAAAGAAAAAATATTCCAGGAAGATTAGTTTTGTGGATTAAAATTCCTCCTAATTGGTTTCACCCAGGTCTCCTGCATATCACCAGATGGCTTTTGCTTTCAGAGGAGGGATTATCATGTCCTGTCCTAAACACCCGAGCTATCCTTGAAGATTTCCACCCAACATGAACCTCTTTTATTCTGGACTAAAATGAGATTCTAGAAAATCAATACTTGAATTGATTAATTGATTCAAGTTACAAATAGATAAACCTCAACATCATTTTAATTGATCCAGGACAGTTAGTTCTGTAGTAAGTACAATAGGGCTAATTGGTGCGAAATGTACTGATGCTTGTATCATGAATAGCTTGTGCATTTCTCCACAAAGTATGTCTTCCTTGTAGTATAGGGAGTGTAAAATATGCCCCACAATTATTGGAGATGGATTCAGGTGGGCATTTATTAAGTTACAGCATGTGCCAGACATGTCACTAGGTATCTGTAAGAATAAATGGTATTGTTTTTAAATACTTAGGAAATACCACAGTTTAAATGTTACTGTCCCCTAATTGCTCATGTGTTAAAGTGATACTATTTGGAGGCACTGGAACTTTTGGGGGGTGGGGCCTATTGCAAGCTCTTTGGAGCTTTGGGGAAATGCTCTTAGACGGGACTGGAGGCACCCACACCTCCCGTCTTTTCTCTTTTGTTTCATGGCCATGAGTCTATAGCACTTTCACTCTGTGACAGTTAATTACATTGAGTGTTTCATATAGTAACAGAAACCTGGCTAACACAAGAAATGAAATTGAAATCTGCTTCATAACACTTTAATATATATAGTTAAGGAAGCTTAAGCCTGTAGTGTCAGTGTAAACACCCAAGTATACTCTTTTATATAGAAAACGAGAATTGGAATACTCTTAGTCAATAAAAGTGAATCAATATTATAAAATCACTCACTGAAAAAACTATCTCCATCTTTGTGGTTTTAAAAAGCCTGATAGTATTCATTATCAGAGATATTGGGAAATCTTAGGAAAGTTATCCGTTTAGAAGATTTTTATTGGAAATAGTACAGGTTTTGGTACTAGTCAGGGCTGTAGTAGAATAATTCCAGTGCTTCACATACAGTGACAATGGCATCTGTTTGTCGATTAGAAAGAATGTAGAGCATAAAGAGAACTCATGACAAGACGATCTGCATCAGGACACACTAAGATGCTTCAGTACTTCACAGTGCAAATTCTCTGATGGCTACACCTGACATGGCCTTAACGAGGAGAAGCTCATCTCCTGTGCTTTCTTTCTTGCTCAAACTCTTAACGGTACTGAATGCTTTTCACTGTTACATTTAAAAACCAAGTTTTGTTATGATAATAATACAGGTTATAGTTTTTAAGTCTTTTTCACCAAAAACTTCTTAAACTACTTCCAACATAATCTTGAAAGTAATAGTCTTTGGGTTTTTGTTGGTTCGCTTGTTTTGTTTTTTGAGACCGGGTTTCACGGAAGGTTTTGGAGACTGTCCTGGAACTCTCTTTGAAGACCAGGCCGGCCTGGAACTCACAGAGATCTGCCTGCCTCTGCCTCCCGAGTGCTGGGATTAAAGGTGTGGACCACCACTGCCCAGCCAAAAGTAATAGTTTTTAAAACAACACAAATATATTATATACAAAGTGCCCCACTTATAATTTTTACCAGAATTCCCAAAGAAACATTTTGGAAATTATAATACTCAGCAATATGCCATGAAATGCTATATATATCCCAAGAAGATCATTATAAACAGCTAGTTTTGTAAGCAATGCATTCTATATATAGATGTTTCACATATAACATTAATTTTTCACTTTATCAAAAGGTAAAATTACATTTAACCAACCATAGCTGTCGTTTTTGTTAAGGTTTTGGGATATCCGAGTAAGGGGAGTTTGAGCTTCATTTCATTATAAAAGAGCAAGCCTATGTCCCAGAGCAACAGACTTTAAAAGGTAACCTGGCATGATTAGGCAAAATGAGTCAGTTACAAAGCAACTCTAAGCCACTAAGTACTATTGGGTCTCACAGCATGCAAGGATATATCCTTTGAGGTAAGTGATGGAGAACCTAAGAGTTAAGTATCAGTACATCAGCCAGGAGACAGTCTCAGTATATGTCCAGGGACTTACAAAGTAGGGCTTGAAGAACCAATAGTAAGCAGATAAACTCCAGGCTGAAATAACAATCCTGTGATGCTGTACCTGGCTTTTTATGAGAGTGCAGGGGACCTGAACTCGGGTCTTCAGGCATGTACAGCAAGCACTTTACTACGGGAGCTATTTCCAAGCCCTTGCAATAAAACTTTAATGCAGTGAGTTCAGATCTTAATGCAATGAGAACTGTCAGGTAAGAGCTGAGGGCCGATCACAATCAACCTGCAGAGTTGCCTTGTCTCTGGACTAGACTTCCTTCTCAGAAGCAAGCTATTTCCCCCAAACCCAGAGACCTTGCTGAAACCAAGGCCTTACAAATTTCCCCTGAGCCAATGTAAATAACAACCTCAAACTCTTCCCCTGGTAAAGACAGAGAAAGGACCAAAGAGAAAGGAGGAGATGTGAAGGCAAATGTCCACAGAAGACACAACACATCTCCCAGGTGCCTGTATCTCCTTGTATGGCTCACTTTCCCTGGGGTGTAGGTGGCAGGAGCAATCAAATACAATGACTGAGGTACTGTGACATACTGCCAGGATTCTCTCCCCTGTTGATACAACATTTGCAGATTCAGAAATGAATGGCACAGGAAAGACAAACAATAGATTTTACTCATCCATTTATTTTTAGAAAACATTTGCATGAAGCAAATTCTCATGACTACAGAGCCCATTCATTTCGAGTGTCTCCTCATTTGGATAGGAGCCAAATTTTCAGAATATCATTGAGATAAAATACTTTTCAGTAGACTAAGGAAAGAGGTGAATGCTTGTGAATGTTTTATGAATTCATAGAAGTGGTTTTCAAGAATATCATGAGCTGAGAAGTAGTAGTACATGCCTTAAATCCCTGCACTCTGGAGGCAGAGGCAGGTGAATCTCTATGAGTTCAAGGCCAGCCTGATCTACAGAGCTAGTTCCACAAGAGCAGCTAGGGCTGTTACACAGAGAAATCTTGTCTTGAAACACAAGCAAACAAACAAAAACTACAATGAAGACTTCAACTTGAAAATGTGTTAGATATTAAACATCAAATTCTCCCTTGATCATCTCAGTCACTATCTCCTTTGATAGAATGTTTGTGTGCACACATTGAGAAGTGACAGAGGATATTTGCAATAGTCTGTGATTTAATGGCTTAAGGGGGCACATGTTTCCTGCAGTGGAATTGAATGCTTGCCTAGCATGCATAAGACCCAGGCCTCAAACTCCAGCACTGTAAAAAGGAAAAGAAATTCCATGCTGTCCATAAATATTATGATTTTTGTCTTGTTTCATAGACAATACTACGTAAATTTTGTAATCACAGCTCCAGCTTTGTGCAATCATGTCTTAAGCACTTTCTTAGCAAGAGCTATTTATCACATGCTATTTGCTCTGACCTCTTTCATTGGTAGAATTTTGGTTGAGCATTCTGGATAAAGATGCCCCTCTTGACTTTTCTAATTGCACGGAACATTATAATCAATTTTTGCCCACTGCAGTGTGAATATCTTACAACTAAAAGACTGAGAGCCTCTTTCCCAACACCTTTCCATTAGATCTGTTGTTCTCAACCTTTCTAATGCTGTGACCCTTCCATACAGTTCCTCAAGCTGTAGTGACCCAACCGTAAATTTATTTTCATTGCCACTTCATACCTGCAATTTTGCTAATGTTATAAATCATAACACAAATATCCTATATGCAAGATATCCATCTGATGTGTGACACACCTAAGGGTTATGACCAACAGGTTGAGAATCACTACTTTAAATGAAGGCTGGGAAATGACACCATTTGGAAGAATTTGTCTGGTCCACTCATCAGTTTGGTGCAGGATTTCCATCTTTGCTCCTGAGACTGAATTACAAGCAGGCTGCCATGCCCACCTGGCATTTCATGAGTGCTGGAGACTCAAACTATGGCTACCTAGTTTGTGAAGCAAGCACTGTAGCCACAAGCCACTTCCCCAGCCCCTAAACTTGACCTTTAATACAACATAATTATATTCATGTAGGAAAATTTAAAGTATAGAACTCACTCAACATTATTTATTATTTTCCCTTGAACAATATTTTATGATCTCATAAAACAATTTTCATAAAATTCCAAATATTTATACATCAATAAAATAGCAAATATATAATAATAATATAGCTAATATATATACATTAATAATATAGCTAATTACAATGGCTCTTGCCTTTACACTCAAAACAGTTGTACCTATGAAGCCAATTGAAAATAAGTAACTCAGGAAGAAGCACTATTTCTGCAATGGTGACTTTCAATCCTGGGACTCAATAAATTCTGCCATGTGCTCAACTTCTGGGGCCACCATTCTTCTAGCACTGCCCAAGAAGTACAGCTCCAGAGGAGCTCATCCACCACACAAAGCCTTGGGCTGGATCCCCAGCACTGCATAAAACAAACACCAATGCAACACACTGTTCAAAATGCCTCCAATCTCAGCTCAAAATGCTTTCCCAGTTTTGGAATTCTTCAGCTAATTTTAGCTTTAAATTCCTATGGGAGATAAAAAAAATGAAAGAAAGAAATAAAACCCCTCCTTGGCACATATCATGAACCTTTTTGCTAGGAAAAGAAATGAGGCAGACGAGATCAAGCATCTCCTCTTATGCTTAATCTCCGACTTATTTTTCCAGCAATGAGTCCCCCTCGCTCACATCACCCCACAGCATACACTATGTGATTCCTTAGAATTTTTCTGTCACTATATCATGGTCAGTGTCTCACAAACAAAATATCTAGACTTTATCTTCTTCATTCTATGTTCTACTAAATGAAAGCCGTTAACCCAATCATTAGTATTGAGAATTTTCTATACAGAAGAGCATAGTTGAAAGCAAATGAGACTTTTTTGTATGAGGATTTCTTGAAGTAGAAGAGAAAATAAGTTCTGAAAGACAAATTTCACACAGCAGGAGTACCAAGGACATCAACTAGGTGAGAATTGGGAGGCTAAGAAAGGAGTGGTGGAAGGAGAAGCCCCTAGAAATTGCTTTTTTTTATCTTAACTTGCCTATAACAGTTCTAAAACTTTACAGGAGAATCAGCCACTTGTCACTGTAGGTGAATGAAAGTTTTCCCCATAGTCATTTTAAATCTATAAATGTGAAAATAAACAAATAATATTTGTGTCTACCAATCGTACCCTTAAATAGAAGAGGTTCACATACTACCCAACACTGGCACATACTCATATTTCTAGACCTTCCTTATGTCTGTGTGTCCCAGCACTAGAGACCATCAATATTCACAAGAAACACGTTTCATCCCCAAATATCTTGCAGATACCAGGTGAGTATGCCTCCTCAGAAACATGGGACTGAAAGTGCTTCAGATTTCAGCTTTCCTCAGATTTCTGAATATCCACATAAACATAAGGAGACATCTCAGGGATCGGAGTAAACTGAAATTCCTTGACAGCTACGTATCTTATACACCTAAAGTGATGTCCCCCAGTGTGGCGAGCACACATGCAATGGAACTGCTCTCCATCATACCTGTCACCATCCCCACGGTGCAGAAGTTTTAGATTATCAAATCAGGTATAAACAGCATAAAGAAGGGATGGAAAGCACATTACATTCTAGGATCATTTTTGAAGTATTTACTTAACAGGTTTTCACTGGGAATTTCTGATATATAGGTTAACTACATATTCCAGTTTCTCCCAAAGAAGAACATTACTATGCATGTGGAACATTCCCAACTGGGAAATATAGTTTACAAAATGCCACAAAATGCAAAGCTGCTTGAGCACTTGCCATGATCGTCAAGGAAAATTCCCAACCTGACCACACATGACCTATTTACTATGACTGTAGTAAAAATTATAAGAAAATCACTTCCATCCATAGGTGAATGTGAACCATTAAAAAAATTTTACAATTAGGTAATAACTTCCCTTTCATATACATGAAAAAAATTAAATCAAACTCCTGAACATGCCTGGTTCCAAGCCATATCCCTATCCATGAAACTCTTTTTATATAATTTCATCTGATTAACACATCACAGGGTAGGAATATTAAAGGCATTCCATATTTGACTAAGAACACAGGATGAAAATATTTACAGATTTTTATTCAGTGAGAACTTTAAAAGGACATTTAATTTGTAATAATCACACAGAATACTTACAGAAATATGTCTAATCTGCTAAATAATGTTTCTATTATATAATCCAATCGCTTTCCAAACTCTTTTTAGAGTAACTCTCATGGCCAGTTTAGAAATTTTGTGAATAATTTGCCTTTAGTGGTGTCTCCATTTTGTGCATCAAAACCTTTATACACATCTCAATGACACTATAAACACATTTCAAATATTTAAAGTAAAATCCATCCTCAAAGAGTAAAGAAGGCCAGGCTTGGTGGCGCACACCTTTAATCCCAGCACTTGGGAGGCAGAGGCAAGTGGATCTCTGTGAGTTCGAGACCAACCTGGTCTACAAGAGCTAGTTGCAGGACAGTCTCCAAAGCCACAAAGAAACCCTGTCTCAAAAAAAAAAGGAGTGAAGAAGTGTTTACACTAATGACATTTAAACTATACTTAGTCACTTTTATTGGGAAATTCTAAAACAAGTTCTGAAGACGGAAAGCATAGGTTTGTTTTGTTCTGTTTAATATTTGTTTGTTTATTATGTATGCCTACACACCAAAGAGGGCATGAGATCTCATTATAGATGGTTGTGAGCCACCATGTCGTTGCTGGGAGTTGAACTCAGGACCTCTGGAAGAGCAGACAGTGTTCCTAACCACTAAGCCATCTCTCCAGCCCCTGGAAGCAGAGTTCTAAAAAGTGTATGGCATCTAAATCTGTATTTGGGTGAGAGGGTGTTGCTTATCAGTTTCACTGTTTGCCATGCCATTCTGATTTCCAATAACTAGCACTGTGCCGGGGCTACCACAAAATTTCACTATGATAACCACACATGAATCATATACTCTCTGTAATACAGAGCTACAGTTTCTTAAAAGGCTTAAGTGCATTCAAAAGAAGCAGAAAATTAACAATGAAGGAGTACTCACATCTGCAAGTTGAGTCACTCCACTTGCTGTTTTGGCCAGTGTGACAAGATCTTCTTGCATCTTATCCACCCATGACTTGATACTGTGGGATCAGAAGGAAGAAACTTCTATCAGATTTCTAGCATGTAACGCTAATGTGTTAATATTTTATATACATAACTTCATATAGTTATATTTCATTCTCCCTCCCAGTTCCCACTAAGAACACCTCCCCATTCCACCTTCAAACTGAAAACAATAATAAAACCAAACAACAAAAGCCTACTGAACCTTTATTACAGTGGAGTTTTGATTTTTAAAATGTATTTTTGTTGGAGTTATTTATATTCATTTGGCTCTTACACTGCATGTGCATATACCCTTCTGGATGCTGAAAGACCCCAAATCAAAATGAGAAAAATGACAGGGCAGCTTGGAAATCAAGAGGGGTAAACATTTGCTCACTCATGACAATTTCAAGAAAATCGTTACTAAGTACAGTATTCAAAAATACACATAAACTGTATTTTGTGATCATAAAATGAGTCTGCAAAATTATACCGTCAGTTTTTAACTACTAGAAATCACAGGTTTCAAATGTCTCAGTACACAAAGTCTAAGAGCAATTTATTTCCCCAGCAGCACTGAGGTTCTGAGTGGCTGGATAGTGCCAGGGTTTTCAAAGCAATGTTTTACTTGAAAATTGTTCCTTCAATATTTAAGCTCAAACTTTCAGATGCATTCTTGAATGCAGTCAGTTTCTTGAATCATGAACTATCACTATCACTATATTTTAGAAACATCTAAATCAGAGAACCACCCAGTGTTCATCACTCTGATCAATGCAGTTTAATTTTCACTTCATCCCTACGTGCCATCAGCGTGCTACAGGTCTCAAATGTGTAGTCTTTTTCTTCGGGCAAGCATAAGGAAACATGGACAGCCCAATATGAATGCGTAGGAGGTGATTTATGTTCGAATTTGAACTTATGAATTTGAATCAAGGAACGTGAAATATGTGTGTCTTCTCCTCCTTCAACGTGAATTTCAACAGTTCATCAAATCATCATCTTCACTTCAGAGACAGAATAAAGAAAATTAAACACCACATGAATCCAAGATTGAAATAATGTCTGGGTGAACACATAAAAGAATAGGGGTGAAAGAAGGAAAGAAAACAAAGTTGATCATAAAGATGATGAGGTAATGATTTACAGGAGCAACTAACTGCTTAGTAAATAAAAGACAACAAAACAATAATGTGTTAGCACAAATGAAATCAAGATAAGCATTTGGTCAGTAATTCTGTATGAATAGGAGAGGAAAAGGTAAATAACCATAAAAAACAACATAAAATAAAATTGAGGAAAACATCAAAATAAATGTTGTAAGTAATATCATCCTAATGTTATAATTTATACTATTTATAAATATGTATACTTATCTGAAAAACGGTATAAAGACTAACCCAATTGTGATTAGATAAACAATATTCTGCCTACTAATCAAATGTTATTAGATAAACAATAATATGCCCACTTTTATACTAGAAGATAAAACATACATAAGCGTATAGACAAAGACTACGATAGTACTTTCTAATTTAAATCAGACTTTGACTGCATACATAGTTAATGAGTAAGTCTTAGACTCTAGAGAGAATTAATCATCTTTCAAACATGATTCCTAATATTGACAAGCAGTAAGACCTGTTAGGAAGCTGGAAGTGACAGGGGAGAAAGGGAGAAAGAGAGAAATAGAATGTGAACACACGTATGCATGCATGAGAATATATTCCTGAACACTGATACACGCCACACTGATGTCATCTGCATGCCACCTTGCCACCTGAGTGCACTGTCACTAGTGATGCTCACAGAGGCAAGCCATTCATTTTGGGGCTGAGAAGGTATTCAGAACCCATCCATTCCTCTCTGCCCCAACTGACAATCTGTCAAGAATGCTGTAGAAGGGCAAGCCTCTTTTTTTGATAGATACTGTTCTTTAACTGGTACCTAGTTTTTCTTAAAATATTACAGAAGCTGGAAGAAATTCAGAAAATATAACATTTATATTAAATAAGCTACATCACATACCACTAAAATCAACTTCATATTTTCTATTTGTGACACCATTCAATAAGCTCTACAATCTGCTAAAAAGAATACTAAAAAGACAGAGACTCAACTGGAATTAAAACTAAGTCTAGGCAAAGGAGAAACAGAATAAGAATGTGGTGACTGGGAAATGTTTTGGTGTCTGGAGAGAGCAATTTAATGCCTAAATACTAAGGTATAGAGGCTGGAGGGAGAGCTATAGGGAGAAAGAAAGGCCCTGCACCCACTCCCACCCCCTTTGGTCTTACATAAGCTCTTTGACTGCCTCTAAGAACCTAGTTAATGTAAGAGCTAATTAACAAATGAACAGCATAAATGTTTTACTCATTTTTCATGCACATGGAGACTGGACAAGAAAGTAAAGTGCACTGACCAAAGACAAAGTGTGAGGAGTCAACGGGAAAAATGAATATCTGGACTTGAAAAACAAACCCCAGAAATGCTACCAAGAGACACAGGCTAGGTGAGGGCTAGTATGAAGTGAAGGATTAGGGTTCCTTTAGAGTTTGTTTATATTCAGGGTCACTGAAGCTCAAGTTACCCATCTGTGGTGATCAAGCCTATTTCTCAGGTTTAATACATAAAGAACACTCCTCCCAAAAGAATATATTTGACTTGCTACAGGTAGGAAAAAAAGGGGGGCAGGAAGCAAATGGCCCCTTCTTAAGTTCTGTTTCCTTCTGTGACATTTGCTAGAAATAACCATGCCAAATTCTCATCCTTGAAATAACATATCATCATTAACCCCTTCAAATATTCACAACAGTAGCTACTTAAGAAGTGGCATCTAAAAGGACAGGTAGAACCTGACAAGATTAAAGCAATTAACAGTGAAGGCACTGAGACATGGTGCTCTAGGTCAATTCAACAAGTTTGACTGGTTGGGGACCATGCTACCTTTAGATAATGAAGTGACAGGAATCGGGGGCAGAGATAATTAAGTCAGAAAAAAAAATGGTAAGACTAACTCTTAAGTAACATTAAGGATTTAGTTTGTCGTTCAAAATTGATGGGGATCTTACAATATGAGAATCTAGACAATAACAAGATCAAGTAAATACCAATGAATATGAAGAAATAAATTTCCTGACACCAAATAGATGGTGGTCAGGGCAGGAGATGAGAGGGGGGAAATGAGAGATAAGAAAAGACAAGGCTCTATTAGTCAATGGTAGTAAAGGAACGGTGGGCAAAAGGTGGGAAGCACACAGAAGCAATGAGCTCAATGTCATGCTGAAGTCTGCACGAGGCTACAGATGCTGTCAGACACAAGTGAATGGAGGCAGAACTGGAAGGCGATTTGGGATGTTTCTCAAGAGCAGACTGGGTGGGGGCATTTTGATAAAGAAAATGCAGACCAGGATAGAAGAAGGCCGTGAACAGTTTCAAGGCTTCTATGAGTTGGTTGCTATTGGTTTGTTTTTGTTTTGTTGCTGTGCTGGGAATTGATCCCAGGACCTTGCCCATGCTGGCCAAGCACTCTGTCACTGAGCTACACCCCAGACAATGCGTTTGCCTTCACTGAACAACAGGTATTGTCCATTGACCTGAGCATACATGAAGCGATTGAACGGAACAGGTTCAGCAGTGCTGTCAAAAGAAAACCCTGCATGGTGTATAAAGATGGGAGGCTACAGTGCCTAGCAAGGACATGAGGAAACCACTGGAGCACTCCCAAGGATCAGGTACAAGGAAAGAAGTAAACAGTAATTAAAACTGTGGGAACCAACCATAATGAGTGAGTAAAGGGATCTGAGTCGTGGCAAAAGAAGGGTGTCTAGGGATGAACTACAAGAACTCTAAGACCAGACAAAATGTCTTCCAGAGATGACAGATGTACCTATGTTCACAAAAAGTCCTTATCAGAGAGAACTCAGGTATCTTAGATCTGTAGACTCTACAAAGGGATAGAGGAGGCCTGGGGCAATCCTTTTTTTTTTTTTTTTTTTTTTTTAAACAAGATAGAGCTATTGGCATGTTTCTGTATGGAAGTCAAAAGGCAGTGGACAGGTCACAGATGCCAGAGAGATCACTTTCATGTACTGGCAATGACAGAGGTGGTATGTAATATGCTAAGGAGCACTCTACATTGGGCAAGACAACCTGGAAGACTTCTTCAGACCCTCTCCTACCCTTCTGCTATGGGCAAAGTGTCCAGATTCATGTTTACATCAGAAATCCATATGGTAAAGAACAGCAGGAAGGAACAGGCCCTGCAGACTGTTGTTATGGTTCAGTGTCCAAGCATTTCCTATTGTCCTGCAGTTGTCCTATAGCAAGACTGTTCAGAGAACATACAGCTGAACTTCAACTTTTGCATTTTAGTTTTTCAAGGTGTCCATGTTTAAAATGTTTATTTTTAATCAATTTGCATGTTGTTCTTTTATTAACTTGTGCTTTGTTTTGTTTTGGTTGTTGTTGCTGCTGCTATTGTATCTCAAGACAGGATTTCTCTGTTTAACTGCTCTGGCTGTTGTGGAACTCTCTTTGTACACCAATCAGACTGCTCTTAAACACAAAGAGATCCACTGACCTCTGTCTCCAAAGTGCTAGGATTAAAGGCATGTACCACCAAACCTAGCAATTTGTGTGTTTTAACAGGGTTGTTTTAGCTCCATCTTCTCTTTTTATGACAACAACAGTCACTTATTAAGTATTTACTAAATCTCAGGCATTTTGTGGTGCTGCATATGAATTCATTTAGATAATTGCTAACAATAGGATCGGAGGAAAAGTCATTCCATGAATGTGGGGCAGATACCAGCAGGCGTGAAAGGACAGCAAGAAAATGTGAACTGAAACTTCTAGCAATTCAAGAGCTCAGTCATAGTAAAGGGTAAAAGTGCCCCGAATACACATAGTTCATTTTGAATCACTATAAACAACATATACATACTGTCAAAGAACAATTAATTATTTGAGCTGGAAATACAGCTCAGTGATAGAATCTATTCAGATTGTGGATCTGCCTTAGTTACTAAAGTACTTGCCATACAAACATA